TGGTAATACCCTATTTAAACAGATTCATAGGAATTCCAATGGGTACTAAACTTGTGCACCCCTGGTCGCCGATTTGTTTTTTGTACTGCTATGAAAAGAGACTTTTTATGTTGAGTCTCTCTGAAGAGAAACAACAAGATGTTATAGTCGCATTTAATAATACTTCCAGATACCTTGATGATATTTTTAATTTTAGATAATCCTTATTTTGATCAAATGGTGTCTGACATTTATCCGCATGAACTACAACTTAATAAAACGAACTCTTGAAATTTTAGTACATCATTTTTGGATCTTCATATAAACTATCAACAACAATTCTATTCACACGAAAATTTATGATAAAAGAGATGACTTTTGACTTTTGTATAGTTAATTATCCACATTTGGGATGGAGACGTACCCCATGCAACATCTTACGGGGTTTATGGTTTCTCAGTTAGTTAGATTCGCTAGAGCTTGTAGCAAACGTTAAGGATTTCAACGAGCGGAATATTTTTTATTACCAGCAAGCTTCTAAAACAGGGCGGCTACCGCTATCATAAATTACGGAAATTTTTTACTAAATTTTACAATCGTAACTTTGATTTATTTCTAAATTCAATAGTGATTTAAAAAACTCTTCTGCGACAAGGGATTAGCCAGCCTGGTTTTTATGGCGATGTGGTTTACAAACTTCGTAAGATTTTGGGGGTCATGGTAATTTTTCTGCTGTTTTTACTAAAATCATTAAACGTTTTATTAAAAGAGGTTATGACACCCTACTATTTTAAGACATACTGCATGTTTAGTGTTCAACCCTTTTACAGTTGGACACTACGCTTTCCTCTTTTGATTGCATCTGACGGACCAAGTGGGAGACTCTATGATGGATAGTTCGTAAAGCCCTTTTGGGACTGAATTGTCTTAATGTTCGTCTTCTGCCTTGCTTCGTCGGGCCCTTGTAGGTGATTTTCTTGTTGCTCTGTCCTCCTTTAGGACATTGAGTACTTTTGTTATGGTCATTGGGTTTACTTTTATATGTTTCTACATGATCATTTTAGTGTTTTACTTATTTAACCTTTTGTAACCATGAAAACTGTTAGAATTTCACTTGGCGGGGATTCATTTTATTTACACTGTCTCGTTTATAGGAACATCGTGGGGCTAAGAGCGAGGTTTGGTGCACCATTAACCGGTTTAAACTCCCCAGCAGTCATTATTATGCTGCTGACCGTTCCAAGGCGGCGCCCCACTGTGTTCCTCAGATGTATGTCTATGTTGTTTCATATTGTTTTTATGACACTTTTGCTTGTGTCCCTTGTTGTTTTCTCGTCTACGGTTAGTATCTTCCCCATTGCCTCTAGTTTTTATTTCTTTGATTAACCCCCCCCCCTTCCCCCGGTCTCCTGTCCCCTTCCCCTTTGTGGGCCTATTATTATTTTCTTTGAATTCCTAATCAGTTACAAATTATTTATCATTTAATGATTAACGTGTCGTTGCCCTGTCCTTTTTATGTTTGGGGTCCGCCTGGGCTCCTTGCCATTGGTTCTTGTTGCTGGGTCATATGGGGGTTGCGTTCATTGAACGCCGCCTTTCCTTGTTGATCTTGTTTATCATATTTTGTTGTTGTTTGTTATTGAATTGTAACAAAAAAAACACATGAACGAATTTCACAAGCAATTTTCCATTTATAAGACAACTCGCTTTAACGCAAGAAAAAAATCACATAAGTACCAATAGTCAGAATTTGAAATTGAATTTCATGCCGTTGCCTTCGAAAGAAAATTCACAACTTTTGTCATTTTTTAAACTATTATCAACTTTTTGACGTTTGGCACTTTGAACAATTTTGCTAACAAGCTCTTGTTGTTGTTCCGAAGTACGCTTGTAACCTCTTATAGCGTCAGACCTATGTCCTGTCTTCTCCCATATCAACTGTTATCAACTCCAGCAGAGAACAAGCGCGTGGCTGCAGTTGCACGAAGTGAATGGTTTGTGTAGAAACCATCAAACCAGCATCATTACATAGTCGACCAATAGTACGCTGTAAACTATGTATTCCAACAGGGGCATCATCAAACATTTTCCTCTAACAGGACCATTACCAGACTTGCTAGGACGCAAGTAAAACGCATCACACTTTCCATTTTCTGGTCTAAAATGGAAAGAAAAAGAAAAATAACTACACGTAACTTAATTTAATTCTTATTTCGTTTCTTGAATTTTTCATAGCAAGGATTCATAACAAACTCCTTAAGATAGTATTGATATGATTTGAGCCGTGTCACGACAAAACCAACATAATGGGTTTGCGACCAGCATGTATCCAGACCAGCTTGCGCATCCGCGCAGTCTGATCTGGATCCATGCTGTTCGCTTACAAACCTTATTACAAGTAGAGAAACTGATAGCAAACAGCGTGGACCCTGATCAGACAGCGTGGACCCATGCTGGGCGCAAACCCATTATGTTGGTTTTGTCGTGACACGGCTCATTTATGTAAAAGAAATTTAAGCAGCACACCAAATGATCCCTCAATTGTTATGAGGTTTTAAAACAATATATCATAAATGTTTTTATCAAATTTAATAGGTTAATCAGTAAGGCATATTTTAGCAAATACCCCTTAATGTCACTTTTTTTAATTGATTTCTTTTAAGAAGTTCAATTCTACAGCAAATGAAATAAATAAAAAAAATCTTTTAAAATTGTCTTATTGATACATATTCATATTTACCTGTAACATTTCAAGGGTAATTCACTTTTTTTTATTTTTAACGTCAATGGCAACGTTATTGTCTTTTGACGTCATTTGTAAAATGACCTTAACAGTGCTTAATGGTCGTTTTCTTACGCTGGCGTTCATTTTTTAACTTAAAGCTTTAAAGTATGAATTGTTTATTTGTATTCATGTTAAATCTCTCTCCTTTTTTCAGAAATTGACTTTTTAAAAATAACTTCTGTCATATAGGTGCGTGCAGCTTAAACTGTTAAATGCGAATTCAATATTGTTCTTTTTTTCTTTTTATAATAACAGGCGTTTTACGTTTTATCTTCAATTGCGTAATTAGGTTTTATTCACGTTGTTTACCAAAAGAATCGCGTTTTTGAGCACTGTAATGAATTAAATTACTTACCGTTTGCTCATATAGTCCAAGTAAAGATTCACAAGACACCTCCCTGGTTGGTTATCGTTCTCGTATGCCCGTGTAACTTTTGGTGACACATTCTTTTTGTACAGCCCACCAGCATAAGTTTTCGAAACATCCTCTGTGTATTCCAAATAACGACGTCCAGTTGGGGTGGTATGAAGTTTAATCTGAGTCAAAGGTCCGATCCTCAGATTCCTATGCTCCATGCCAGCTCTTAATGCAAAGTTCAAACCCATGTAAAAGACCATGGTATCCAAAAGTTTCTGAGGTGTATCGTTTCCAAGGAGTCGTTTTCCCCACAGTGTATCCTCCTGTTCTGCATTTATAATTAAAGTTTGCTTTTTATTAAGCCCCCATCCTTGCCTTGAGAGATCTTTCATTCTTGAATCTAAGACCGACCTCATTTTTACAAAATCGCTACTTTCTAGAAGGTTTACCTGCCTGTCATTAGATCTAAGGTAGTGCTGGAGTGCTATGACAAGCTCGTATATTGTCTTAGGGCAATATTCTTTTCCTTGTTTATTCCTCACCTCGGCTATAAAAAATGACAGAACCATGTCTACCTGCTGGTTTGACATTGTCAAAATATCACCAATTATGGTATCGTTTTCTGTATTTCCATAAGTGTTTCTATTCTTTTTCTATTGTTCGAATACATTAAATGCCCATTTTGATTTGTTTCTGGTGTTTTCTGGTACACTCTTTTTAACCATTTCTGTAAGTTGGCAATACTCCAATGGCTCGGGGAATCTGTCTGAATTTTGCGATTTGGGCGCATTCTCGAAATTCTGGGAGGCTTGTTATAATTCCTCATCATCTCCATCACACAATAATAATTCCTCAGCATAGCGATTCTCCGCCATTTGCGAAGCTTGAACAAGCATTTCATCGGCAGTGTCATCAGCTATATCCGAAAATAATGTTGATTTTAATTCATAATTTGGATAACTATCCTCTAATGCAAGTGCATCATCTAAAATTTGACCCGTTGCTATTTGACTTGGCTGTATTGTCCTTTTTTATACTCCATATTTAAAATTATATCTACTGTTTAAATCTTTAGGTGGTATCACATGTAAACTGTGTAGACCAAGGTGTATTAATTTTCATACATGTATTAGGATACACTGGTCAGTTTTCTAATCACGAAAAATCCATGCAGAAAACATCTTACATTATCAAGAGGTTACTTATGGGGTTTAATGAAGGAAAATAAGTGATTTATTTAATATCATGCACTTACTATTTATCAACCGAATTATTGTTTCAAATACTTTTCATTAGTAATTAAAACCTTTGTTTTAAAAGAAGTAATTTAAGTAAATATAAGCCTCAAACTGACCAATATGTAAAATATTGAATTCCCTTCGGCGCTACGCGCCTCATGAAATTTAATATTTTACATATTGTACAGTTTTCGGCTTATATCTACTACTTAAATAACAATATTTATCATACACCCGTGCCGATTTTGCGACTCCGTAAATATTGTATTGGACAGCCGTCCATATATTTTGACATGACGTCATTAGCATTATATAAACATAGTGTAAAGGCACGCTGAATATAGGCGCGTCAATGAAATTGATTCTTATTTCACTTTAAACGGTCTTTATTTTGCACCGCAACGTAACACGCCTGTCAACGTCCAGTAGTTCTTCACTAAAGCTGTGTTTTTTGTCATCAAACAAGGATGTTCTTTCTTCTCTAAACCGCTCATGCCATTTATACACAAATGTCTTTCAACCATGTTTCCAAATTTTCTATCTTTTTAAGAGTTCGGTCGGTGAAAGTTTCAGTCCCACAAAAAACTTGATGACAGCGTGTAATTCAATGTCGTCTGTTCGCCGTTTGGTAGACATCGAGGTTTACGCTGCCGCGAAACAACCGTTCTACACGGCGTCTTTTAATTTTATCATTTACAGAAAATTGCGTCAAAACATCATACTAACGTTACACGCGTGAGGACCAAATTTGCTTAAATTTTCTTCCCACAGTGACATTTATACTTTAACATACAGCGTGCTTCAAGTCACAGGACAGTGGTTGCTATGGACACGGTGTATGCGTAGGAAAATGTTAATATATATTCGGCAATATAGAAATGTAGTTGCAAACATTTTGGTTTACCTCTTTTCGAGTTTTCATGGAATTCAATAAAGTAATTTGGTTTTTAGAGGATAATTCCGCGAATTATCAATCAGCCATCGTATAATTCTTATCACTGTGTTTGAACTAAATGAGCCCAGTGTGAAAAATAGTAGGACTTTTTGTCATGTAAATTCCAAATCCATAGGGAATTTTGTACCCTTAATATTGTACCCTTGTTTATTTACTTAAAATAACCAAATTATGTATAAATTTATATTTGCATTTATATATGTGTTGCCACATGTGTCCTAGACGTTCTGGGTGCAAAATTTATACCTTTTGTACTTGTAAACAACTGAGGGAGGTTGCATTAATTCATTATCCCTCATGTACAGACTCATTCAAACCGAATCTGCTATTTTCCTGTAATTGTGTTGTCATAAATGCTTCTAAGGGATCACTTTGTTTCCAGATTTTTCTTCTTCACAACAGAAGGTGTCAAGTACGTGTGGCAGCTGTAAAAAGTTGCCACGTTCTTCACTTCAGTGTTGTTATATTTTTCTAGTCCTTTGGTATCATTGTTTCCATCACGTTTATGTTTTGAAAATTGTGTACCGCTCGGTTATTGTCTATGAAGTACTGATCGTACACAGAGAAGACAAAAATATATGTGAAATTATTTCTATCTTTCAAAGACAAAATGTTGACAATGAATAAATGCAATTCTGAGTACATTTTGTAACTTCTAATGTCAAATGGTCAAAAAACTACATTCATCATCAGCATTCATCACTCTGTTCTTACATAAACGTTACAAATATATTTTTTTCTCTTTTCTCTCTCTTCTATAATACTTGACGTTTGTTAGGGGCTATTATTATTATTTGCATTCGACCTTCACTGCTGATGTTAATTCCTGCGTGTTTTGTTACCTCAGTCATTCATTAAAAAACGATTCCCAGTGTATTTGTAAAATTTTTAAGCGTGCCAAATATTTCTTTGGCCTTTAAATATCTCCATGATTTTTTATACGTCCGTAATACATAAATAACAAGAAAAGCATTGATGCAAAGCATCAAAGGGCGTCCAAGCAAGAAATGCAGCAAGTGAAGATGAACTAGTAGACATCTGATGACCAGATATTCTTATAAACTTTTCAATGGTTAATTGGTTTTAACCAGTATTGTATATCATTTATGAATGGGCGGACGAAAGACACTGTTCATCGTGAATTTTGATAGGCATGCTAGAGATTTGAATATTAGACGTCAAAAGACAAAATAGAAGAAAACTAAAAATACCATATAAAATGTAAACATAACAATAATGTCGTGCTGACGATCTTCAAGGATCTAAAATATAAAATCATTGATTAAATGTCACGCCTCTTAACAACACCTTCGCCTGTAAATTTACCATGCGCAAAAGTATTTTGTAAAACATTCGATATCTATTAACTGATTAAAAGTTTATAACTTTTTAAGTCGATATCACCTTATTATCTCTGCTCGTTTGAAAATGGTTTTGTCCAATAAAGTTGCAGGTTTTGAAATGAATTGTAGCACATTTATTGTCGTGAATCGGCTAAGTATAAATAAGTCTTGTAAATTGACTGTTCATAGCGAGCTCGACAAGCTGGCCCGAGGGCCTGCTCGCAAAGCGAGCTTTACGGTAACGCGAGTACCTGCTAAGTGATGTTTTTTAAAACTTTCGTCCGAAGTACCGAATTGGGCACATCGCAACTTTTCGAATTACAAGATAACGATAAAAGCCGATGTACTCTGATTGAAAACGGAAGCGAAGACTGGTGTCCTGCGCACTTATATAGGCAATCTCACAGTTTCAATGACAATGTCATAAAAAAAACTGAGAGGACTAAAGCATAGTGATCCTAAATCTTATTGGAGTTTATTAAATAAATATTCTTCTGATAAAAAGTGATAATAAATAAAATAACTAATGAGGTTTTCCATGAGCATTTCAGTAATTTAAATGCAGATATTTTAAGAAATGAAAATGACGTAGATAATTTTAATGTTAACAACTTACCAATGTTTAATGAGGCACTGAATTCGCAATTTACTGAGCAAGAAATAGATAAGGCTATAAAGGCGCTTAAGAATAATAAAAGTCCATCTATATTTGACAATATTATTAATGAGTATCTCAAAAATGCTCCTGATAATCTGCTGGCTGTACTTAAGATATTTTTTAACATTATATTAGACTCTGGTATCTTTCCGGATGTGTGGAGCAAGGGAGTTATCTTACCATTGTATAAAAATAAAGGGGATGTTAATGATCCGGATAAATACAGGGGCATAACAATACTCAGTTGCTTTGGAAAACTTTTCACTTCGGTACTTAATAACAGATTAAATGACTTCTTGGAATCAAACAACATTCTATGTGAAGAACAAGCAGGTTTCAGGAAGCATTATAGTACTGTTGATCACATATTTTCATTAAAACTTCTAGTGGACGTATATCTAGCACATGGAAAAATATCGTATTGTGCATTTGTAGATTATCGCAAGGCCTTTGATTCTGTAAATCGCACTGCCATGTGGCATAAATTATTAAGTTACAATATTGATGGGAAATGCTTTAAAATAATACACAATATGTATGACAAAGCTAAGTCATGTATTAGTTCGAATAATACAATTTCAGATTTTTTCACTAGTCATACTGGAGTAAGACAAGGTGAAAACTTATCTCCAATATTGTTTTCTCTTTTCTTGAATGATCTAACTAATTTTATGTCTGATAAATATGAAGGTTTGCAGTTTCAAAAAGAACATATTAATGATATGTTAAGTGATGATAAAATGGAAGTTTATCTTAAACTGTATTTACTATTGTATGCAGATGACACTGTAATATTGTCAGAGAGCTCTCAGCAGCTTCAGTTAGCATTAAACGCTATGTCTGACTACTGCAAGCTTTGGAATCTTGAAGTAAATACAAATAAAATCAAAGTAATTATGCCCCCATTTCGAAGAAAAGGGGGTATATTGCTTTGCACTTGTCGGTCCGTCGGTCCGTCGGTCTGTCGGTCCGTCGGTCCGTCGGTCCGTAGACCAAATGGTTTCCGAGTGATAACTAAAGAACCCTTAGGCCTAGGAACTTCAAACTTGGTATGGTGATTGGTCATGACAAGTAGATGACCCCTATTGATTTTGGGGTCAAGGGGTCAAAGGTCAAGGTTACATTGACCTTGTAAGCAAAAACGGTTTCCGATCAGTAACTAAAGAACCATAAGGCCTAGGAACTTCAAACTTGGTATGGTGATTAATCATGATCAGTAGATGACCCCTATTGATTTTGGGGTCAAGGGGTCAAAGGTCAAGGTCACATTGACCTTGTAAGCAAAAACAATTTCCGATCAATAAGTAAAGAACCTTAAGGCCTAGGAACTTCAAACTTGGTATGGTGATTGGTCATGATTAGTAGATGACCCCTATTGATTTTGGGGTCAAGGGGTCAAAGGTCAAGGTCACATTGACCTCTTGGGTAAAAACGGTTTCCGATCAATAACAAAAGCACCCTTAGGCCTAGGAACTTCAAACTTGGTATGGTGATTGGTTATGACCAGCAGATGACCCCTTTTGATTTTGGGGTTAGGGGTCAAAGGTCAAGGTCACATTGACCTTGTAGGTAAAAACTGTTTCCGATCAATAACGAAAGAACCCTTAGGCCTAGGGACTTCAAACTTGATATGGTGATTGGTCATGATCAGTAGATGACCCCTATTGATTTTGGGGTCAAGGGGTCAAAGGTCAAGGTCACATTGACCTCTTAGGTAAAAACAGTTTCCGATCAATAACTAAAGAACCCTTAGGCCTAGGAACTTCAAACTTGGTATGGTGATTGGTCATGATCAGTAGATGACCCCTATTGATTTTGGGGTCAAGGGGTCAAAGGTCAAGGTCACTTTGACCTCTTAGGTAAAAACAGTTTCCGATCAATAACTAAAATATCCTTAGGCCTAGGAACTTCAAACGTGGTATGGTGATTGGTCATGACCAGCAGATGACACCTATTGATGTTGGGGTTAAGGGGTCAAAGGGCAAGGTCACATTGACCTTGTAGGTAAAAATGCTTTCCGATCAATAACTTAAGAACCCTTAGGCCTAGGAACTTCAAACTTGGTATGGTGATTGGTCATGACCAGCAGATGACCTATTGTTTTGGGGGTCAAGGGGTCAAAGGTCATGTAACATTGACCTTGTAGGTAAAAACCGTTTCCGATCAATTAACTAAAAACGCTTAGGCCTAGGAACTTCACACTTTGTATGATGATTGGTGGTGACCAGCAGATGACCCCTATTGATTTTTAGGTCAAGGGGTCAAAGGTCAAGGTCACATTGACCTTGTAAGTAAAAACAGTTTCTGATCAATAACTTAAGAACACTTAGGCCTAGGAACTTCAAACTTGGTATGGTGATTTTTCATGACCAGCACATTACCCCTATTGATTTTGGGATCAAGGGGTCAAAGGTCAAGGTCACATTGACCTTGTAAGTAAAAACGGTTTTTGATCAATAAATAAAGAACACTTCGGCCTAGGAACTTCAAACTTGGCATAGTGATTGGTCATGACCAGCAGATGACCCCTATTGATTTTGGGGTCAAAGGTCAAGGTCACATTGACCTTGTATGTTAAAACGGTTTCGGATTAATATTAAAAGAACCCTTAGGCCTAGGAACTTCAAACTTGGCATGGTGATTAGTCATGACCAGCAAATGACCCCTATTGATTTTGGGGTCAAGGGGTCAAAGGTCAAGGTCACATTGACCTTGTAGGTAAAAACGGTTTCTGATCAATTTACTAAAAACGCTTAGGCCTAGGAACTTCAAACTTTGTATGATGATTGGTCTTGACCAGCAGATGACCCTATTGAGTTTTGGGTCAAGGGGTCAAAGGTCAAGGTCATGACCAGTAGATACTTGATAACCCTTATTAATTGTTTGATCACTGGGTCAAAAGTCATGCATAATTACCTTATCACATGAATAATTGGCTGCTGATAGGGGGCATACATGTTTTACAAACATATCTTGTTATATTTTGGAAAACCAAGAGAGGTTTGCGTAATATGCCTAACTTTCACTATGAGTGGACTGTCCTTGAAATTGTTGAGCATTTCTCATATTTAGGTGTCCAATTTTCATTTAATGGTAAATTCAGCAGAACTAAAACATTCCTTATTGATCAAGCCCGTAAAGCCACGTTTTCTGTAATTAGGAAATCTAGGATACTTAATTTACCAATAGATATGCAATTACACTTGTTTGATACAATGATAGCACCCATTTTGTTGTATGTTTGTGAGGAGTTTGTTATATAGGAACCATAATGGAAAGAAGGAACCAGAATAAACGGAAGCAGTGAATAAAATACCGAATGACAATTTTAAAACGGAAATTGTAACATAAAAATGAACGGTTATTTTAAACTATCTTACGGTAAAAGAAAATCGAGCTCGCTTTGAGGCTTTGCCTTTTTCATATTAAAGATAATTTCAAACACTAATTTAGTTAGTGTTTACCAAATTAATTGTTCGAACGGTGTCCAATTTGAATTTTGTAATTGTTAGCTAATAAACACTAACCTGCACATAATGCAAACAATAAAGTATCAGCAAGCGCATGACATAACAATAATTCTAACACTATCGGAAATTTTTCTATATAAACAAAGAAGGCCTGAAGCGTACATTATTCTACAACAATGCACTCGCCGTTCTTATCATCTCCCTGTGTATTTTCACATTGAGGGCGCCATTTTGTTTGAAAAATATGATAAATCAAAACATTTTTGTGTCGAATTTTGCTGTGAAAACTATCTAGAATGAAAGAAAATGGTCTAACTAAGAAAATTAATCCGAACGCCAATATCTTTAATTCAGTCGTTAACGCTGTACAGACGTTTAAAGTGTTGTTTACGTGACATCACAATGTAGCGCCAAACAGCACGTGCACAACAATCAAATCAAGTACGCTATTTTAATGTCGCAAACGAGTTAAGTTTTACTCTTATTTCACTTTTAATAATTTGTATTTCGCTTGAAAAATTATAGAGTAAAATAAAATAAACAAACAAAGATTTATCAACGTTTTCAAAATTCGTTATTCTCAAAATGTTTCTACACACGGTAGTTTTAACGACAGTTTTTTTCAACCCACTGGAACAGCCTTTAAAGAACGTTTCTATTGGAAACTCTGAGGCGAAAACAAATTTAACCACCAAACATAAAGTCCAATAGAATAATGCACGGTTTGAGTTCAAATGCGTAGTAATATAATCACGAAGGCCGATAGGCCTGAGTGATTATTTACAAAGCATTTGAACGAAAAACGTGCATTATTATACAATAATGCACGATGAATTAATATCTATTTCCATTCTTACACGTCAAGAAAAAAATATAATTATTATTATAAAGTTGGACTTTATGTTTGTTGGTTTAATGTGTTTTCACCTCAGAGTTTCCAATAGAAACGTTCGTGTAAAGGCTTATAAAAAGTGTCGTTAAATCTACCGTGTGTAGAAACATTTTGAGAATAACGAATTTTGAAAACGTTGATTAAACTTAGTTTGTTTATTTTATGTCACTCAATAATTTTTCAAGCGAAATACAAATTATTAAAAGTGAAATAAATGTAAAACTTAACTCGTTTGCGACATTAAAATAGCGTACTTGATTTGATTGTTTTGCACGTGCTGTTTGGCGCTACATTGTGACGTCACGTAAACAACACTTTAAACGTCTGTACAGTGTTTACGACTGAATTAAAGATATTGGTGTTCGGATTCATTTTCTTAGTTAGACAATTTTCTTTCATTCTAGTCTTCACAACAAAATTCGACAAAAAATTGTTTTTTATTTATCAGATTTTTCAAACACAATGGCGCCCTCAATGTGAAAATACACAGGGAGATAATAAGAACGGCGAGTGCATTGTTGTAGAATAATGCACGCTTCGAGCCTTCTTTGTTCATATAGAAAAATTTCCGATAGTGTCAGAATTACAATTTTACTTATTTTCTGTTTCAGACCTGGTAGCTTTCTGTTTAACGATTTGTTTGTATATCAAATTTTCTCGTGAGTATATTTTATGTATTAGAGCAATTAATTTGATAATAAGTTTTTGAAAAGGACATTGAATATTATCATTTTATGACGTAATATAAATGTTTAAAGAGACAAGGAAATTACTATGAATGCATACATGTAATGGGTAAACTTGCAGCCAGAAACAACACCGCCTTGCATTTCCACTCACATGTTTTTATGCAGTTATGAACAATAAAATAGATGTATAATTCTGTTTTTTATTTGTGTTAAACATATTGTTATTATTTGTTTCAATAAACGGAAGTGAGGGAAAATTGAAAGTGATCTCAAATGACACAAGATTGTATGAATCTGTATTTAAATATTTTAAAGATATCTGAATGAAATGGACCTAACATGATATTGTTTTTTATCTGGTTTATTTATACCTTCATTTTAATTACTAGTATCTTATCGTAAATGTTTGGCACTTTCCCAGAAGATATTGCAGCATCTGGGAAAAAGTTATTTTCATAGAAGCTATTATTTTCTAATAGTGTTCTGATGTATAAGTTCTTCCACAGCTATTTGTACGCTTATATAAAAGTAGGTGAAGGTAAGCTTCGTTTGAATGCAGACATCTGTCTGGATCTTTTAGTATTATAAAGCTGGAGTTTTATTTCTTTGCTACGCAATATATAATTTGCAGCAATTGAAAAAAGACTTAATACCTGAGACGGAAGCATTCAAAAATGGATAAAATAAAACTTGTCATTGTCATGGTTGCAATTATTGTTGATGAAATGAATTGTGACACTGACTGTGATTGTAAAACAATAAAGGAGCTACAAGAATCTATGCAGAAGGAGATTTTTCAAAATAAGTTGGAAATATCAAGAATGAATTCCCGTCTTCGGAATATAGAAGCATCAAAGAGGCATTGGACTGGAACAAATAACAAGGCATCGAATAAAGGTGAGTAATTAATTTATTATTGGTAAATATTCCAGTTGAGATAGGTCAAAGAAAATAGTTAAGTTAAAGGCATATGAAGCATCAAAAATTAAAACGACTTTTCTTCTACAAACTGGTCAATGTTTTAAGTAATATTGTAAAGATTTGTACCTTGGTACAAAAAATAACATTTGATATTCATTTAAATTTAAAGCTTTCATGAATGAAGTAAACATAAATTTTATAAAGTGGTTAACAAATTGTGTGTTTGATACAGAATAATTTAACTAAAGTATAACATATGGTTAAAACAAAACAAGGTGAATTCTAGTGAGATTAGGTAAATGGCAAAAAGGTATCGTATATGCAACTGAAAAAGGCACCAAACGAGAAAAGCTTTCGAAAAGTAAATTAGCAGTATTATGGCGGTTTCATTATGAGCCTTTAACCTCCTTGCCTACCTGTCATGCAATGACAACATTGATTTAGTTTTGAGTAACGTTGGCTATTCGTCGTCCGACCGTTGTTCTTCACAATTCATTCAAATAACATCTCCTCTGTAGCCACAACGCAATTATTGTTAAACTTGACAGAAAAATATTTTGTATAAAGCTCTATCAAGTTTTAATCCAATGGTTTCGGTCCACTATATTTATAGACAAGAAAAGCATTGATGCAAAGCATCAAAGGGCGTCCATGCAAGAAATGCTGCAAGTGAAGATGAACAAGTAGACATCTGATGACCAGATATTCTTATAAACTTTTCAATGGTAATTTGGTTTTGACCAGAATTGTATGATATTAATAAATTGGCGGACGAAAGACAATGTTCATCATGAACTTTGGTAGGCGTAATTAGAATATTATTTTTTCCACAGGCACTTGAAATTCAATCAATATTAACGATAGTATCCAAAATATGCAGGTCTATAATATCTAAAGTGCAATTAGTTGTTTGAATATGTTTCATTTTTCATATTTCATCTCCTGCAAAATTCTCCAGTTCGTTGTTTATAACCATAGCTCGACACGAATTACCGTTTCGTTAAACTAGAACTACTTCTATTAATAAATTCGGACTTTCACAATGTTAAGGTCATCATTCTATTTATAGGTACAGTAATACACAATTACCCTCTGTGTGTACTACAAAATGATAAATAAAAACCCCGAAGAGCGCGATTAATTGACAGACATTGCGAAGTTCTCCAGTTCGCTATTATTGTTCTCGACATTTCATTTTTGATAATCAAATACCCTCATACCAATCGGGATGATCGGCTATTATGACCGACGAAATGGTCCGAGAAATTGCTGCCGCCCTTTCACAAAATCTGATTTAATTTCATAAGGGGCGTCGCGCTTCGGCGCAGACGTCAGTAACAGCAGTTAGAAATTAAATTTATATGTGCAGTTTTTTTTAAACACTCTCCCTAAGCGCAATTCCTAGAGTTTATGTATTCATTAAGACTTACTGGTTAGGCGCTTTCTTCAAAGGTTATTAAAATTATAGTCTGTGAATAAAATTGATCCTGAGATCGTGGGTTTTTCGAACTGTATATTGTGAAAACTATGATTTGTTCTCCGGAGGGTATGGTATTTTTTACTTGAAATTGTAAAGTTTCTTATCCTTTGTAAAGGCTATAAATAAGATATTATATAGCAATCAGTGACATCCATATCAACCAGTGATTTCCATATCAGCAATTAACTTTCAACAGCAAACTCTAACGTTTTATCTGTGTGTTATTCAGATGCATTTTTGTATTTTGACTTTTTCCAAATATCTGCTTTTCTGAAAAAATCAACTTATCATTAATTCTATAGCTTTTTAGTCAGGTTAGTGATACATGAACGAATATTGTCCTCTAAACGATATAATTAATATTATGCCGAACATAGGATAGTTATCCGAGTTAAGAAGCAAGTATGCGGATAATAAAAAATGGTATTTTGTTTGCCAGAATCCGACGGGCTTTCAACTACTAAAAGCAATACTATTGACACATTAGAAGCTGAAGTGACAAGGGTTAACAGTACAGACGTTAATAAAGCAACTATACAATCAAGACTTTTAAAGCTAATTGAAGCGAAACTTTCGTCACTTTCTCTTCAAGTTCAAGATTTGAAGAAGCATGATTCCAAAGAATATGTGCTGGAAACGATTGTAAATAAAACATTATCCTCGGAGAAAAGAAGCCGGAAAAAGTTTGAGTCGGTATTGAAAACTGTCGTGAAAAACATCAACAATTCTGTTAGTGAAATAAGGACGGAAACAGAAAGCTTAATGGACAAATATAATGAAACGTTTGTTAAAGGATGTGACAAGTCTATTGGAGCGATGAAAGTAGTTACGGTGAACATCAACAAAACAATGTATGAAGAAATTAACATCATAACCGAGGCTTTGAATCATCTGACGGAAAAATTGTCTGAAGCAAATAAAAAAGGTATTTATAATCGATGTTATCAGACCTTTTATACAGATAGCGGTTATCTCGTTCAAGATTGTTTGGGTTGTTTAACAAAATTTCATTGTAAATGATAAAGCAATTGGTTTATAAATTCTTAAAAGAATTGATATATTGTTATCAAATTTTATATTAGTCTTATTTTGAATTACTCTCTGTAAAATATTCCGCAGATCCATCGGTAATGTAATATCGTTTTTATTACAGATTTAATACAAAATATGATTTTATAATATACGCAACACATTTAATTGGAACTCACATTGGATAAACATATTTATCTCAATATAATTTTGCGACCTATAAATCACTAAAAGTCAGTAAAAGAAGTATTAATTATATCCGAGTGTTAGTACATGTTGTAATTGAAGTAAGTTTTTCTTTAAATAAGACAATTGTTTAGATAGTGTAAAATAGAGAAAAGTAGAACCCCTAAAGAAAGACCATCACGCCGCAATGTAGGTGTTAGATTGTAAGTTTACGTCTAATTGGCGCTTTTTACTAATATTCAGAATTATTACTATTATGAACATGAAAAATTTGCTGTACCTTGTGTAGTTGCACTTTTCGCACGAAGCAAGCTACTTAGGAATTTATGGCTGTTAATGATTAACCCTGTAATACACTATTTTGTTGTTTTTTTTTTTTCAATTCAAGTTATCCTTCGTCCGTCTTTTAACGTAAAGTGTGAACGATACCTGCATATCTATCCATGGTTAATGTCTTAATTTCAAACTGCTTACTGATCACCACTGTAGGTTCGAATCCCGCCAGGGATTTTGTAATCTTTTATGTGTGAAACTATCCGTAAGTAGTTTTACGAAGGTGTCCGCTTGTGCGAGCCTGAAAAAATGCACATAGGGGTACCAGAGGTCTTTACTGATGCTTATCTTTATTCCTTTAACCATGCGTGTGCATTTTTTTTATGCAAGAACTATGTTTCTAGCATTGTTCTTGCCTTACACAAAACAGAAGAAACGCATAACAACATGTCGAAAAATATTTTCTTCATATTCACTCCAAATAACCATATATATTCATTTGACTTATTCGTATTGAAAACGAAATAATGGGTTAAGCAAGTTAAAGAAAACCGATTATATCAGACGATTATTATGCAGCAATTGATGAATAAGCGATTTGATGTCATCCGTACTATTTAAAGGCATTTTGTACAATAATATTTTAACTACATGTATTTTGGATAGTATTATGTGATAAAATCTAATATAATTTCACTTTTGACAACTTTTAAAAACTTGCAATGTCCCTAAATGGCATAAGGCTCGTTACAAATTTTTCTATACTATACACTAGTCTTATAAAATTATTTGTGGCATAACAACTCGGATATTATAAAGTGTCTTCCCTTTAAGATGGTGAATGGTCAAGTTGGGAAAACTGGGGTTCATGTAGTGTCAGTTGTGGAGGTGGTATTCAAAGTCGTCTAAGAACATGTTCTAACCCAAGACCATCTTTATTAGGAAGATATTGTAGCGGAACTCCCGACGAGACAAGAACTTGTAACAAACGCCAGTGTGAAGGTATATGATTTAATTACTCCACTTTGCAATGAAGTGAAATTGTATTCACACGTACAAATTTATCACTATGAGCAAATTTCAACCGAATCCCTCGAAAACTATTCATACATGAATACATCCGATATAATTCTAGAAAATTTGTTCTCTGTAAAGTAGTAACGATTTCTATGCATGTCTAAATAGTAGTGAATTTCGCTTCTCAGATGCAAATAATAATGGTGTTTTCGTAGAAACATCTCAGCCCAAAAGAGCATTAAACATTAAGAAAAAATGAAATTTCATTTAGCACTTTTGGTTCTGATGATAAAACAATCGAAAAACATTTTAAAATGTATGACAACTGTCCGATGAATGAAGCGTAATTATAGTTGTTTTGTTTAGAAATCCAGTTTAAGGGCGGATGTTAGTGATAGTTTTATGTCAATATAACAGAATTCAATTTATACAAATATGTAATGTGGTTAAATGATAACAGAATTTTGTTCAGTGGTGATTTATTTATGATTTACATCAAGACAGTTCGAAAGACCAGATTCTATGTAAAAGGAAAGATAGTTGAATTCTACCATTCTATGTAAGAAAAACAGTAGTTGATATTATGTAGATTATGTGTTTAAATCATTGAATATATTAACAATCATACGCTATATTCAACGACTTCAATAATTTACACCATTCAGTCTTGATATTAAGTTGTCAAAACCCTGTACTTATAGGGTAGCAAACGTAATGGGTTTACCTTTCTACTATGAATAGAAATTGCACTTGAATTATCAGTCTGATTTGAATATTGTATGAAGGCTGTGATATGCCGTTCCTTACAGTCGGAAACCAGCCTTAGTTATGCGATCAATCTTTTATTTCACGAAATAATTTAACACAGAATATTTGTTAAATGGTAATGTATATATATACATATATTAGTAAATATTTTGTCTTACTGCATTTAATCTATTTCTTTCAGGACAAAACGTGGCATTTACAGCAGACAATTTAGATAAAAGCTCATCATCATCATCTACTACCCTTGTGTTCAGAACAGTATACATTAACTACGGCAATGCATACAACAAATCAACAGGGGAGTTTACTTGTAAAGTCCCTGGATTATATTATTTTGCTGTAACGCTAACAAAGAACTATTTTGCTAAAGTGGATTCGGTTAACGCTGAATTAAACATCAATGGTATCAATAAATTGAATATGCACTGGGACCAATATGATCACGACGACAAGTTTGAATATGGAGCGATCCCGTTAACACAGTCTAGAACATTTCACCTGAATAAAAATGATGTTGTAGATATTTTGGGTATTCCTAACCATTTTTGTGATAACCTTTTTAGATCTACATGTACATTTACAGGATACTTGATAACACCCGATTAATTATATATCATATTATGTGTGAGAAAATAAATCGTCATTAAATGATTTAATGTATAGATACATGTTTAAACACATGCACGTATAATAACTTATGCAGGCTGTCTATGCAAATTCATATTATCGTCGTTAACTTCTAAAATGATGATTGTTGAAATAATTTAAAATGACATTTTATTTTGATGTTCCGTCACAATCTATTATTATCTTTTTTGAAATAAAAAATACTTACTTGAATACTCACTTAAAGTAGATAGACATGTACAAAGAGAATATTGCGGTCAAAGCACAATTGTATTAAGAAACATTACATGAAGATGGTTTAATTGTATATGAGGTGAATGAATGTATTACAGGTGACTTAAATGTATTAAAGGTAAATAGTTTGTACAAGAAGTAAAATAATTGTATAAGAGGTAAATATAATGATTTAGATGTGACTGTATTGTATAAGTAGGGACTGGATTGTATTTGAAATGACTTATTTCTATTAGAGAATTGACGAATTGTGTAACAAGTGACAATGGTGTTACATGTAAATAAATTGTATTAGAGGTGTCTTCATTGTACGAGAGATGACCGGAATGTATAAGAGGTGAATAAATAGTATTAAATGCAAAAAAGAATTGTATAAAAAATGTTTTTAATTGAAATTTCTAGGATTATATAGCATTACTTTAAACCATTTGACTCGTAGAAGTCTAACGTCAGAAAATAATATGTTGGTCATGTGTCAGAACACATGGATCACGTGCAATGATTTCATAAAAGGTCAAACTTCGTTTTGATTGTAGAAAATGCAAGTTCTCTTTACTCTCACTACCTTTAGAAACATGAACATTGATGATTATCAAGAAATGTCAATATATTCAGATATAGGTTAATTCACATAAAGAATTTTAATGATTTAAAATATATTTGATCTTGTGTATGAATAATGTAAATAGATTTTGTCAATCGCAGCATTTTGTTGTTAATGTAGCCAGATGTGTTAAACGACAAAATTAGACCACATTAATATTGAATATTTATGCATAGGTATTACTTCCAGTCGGTATCATAATTTGTTCCTTAAAAAGAATAACTACTTCTGACCGAATGCATATATGCCAAAGTCATTTTATACTTCATTGCGGCCCAGCGGGAAAGTATAGACATTCACACACTTCAATCCCGCAGAAGGGAGAAAAAGGTTTTAATTATTTTCCGTGCTATGTCACTCTTGGAAATGTGACCATTTTTACAAATAATCTATTCATTTTACAAAGAGCCATTTGTCTTATCTTTACACAGAGTCTGTTTGTCTAATATTTTTTAAGTCTTTTGGTGTAATCGTTTCAATCTGTTTGAGTAATATTTACACAAAGACTTTTTATCTATCATTTAAAATCATTTTGTCTACTCTTTGGTAAAAATATGTTGTCTAGTCTTTACAAAGCCTTTTGTTGTGTTATATTAACGAATAACATGTTTGTCTAGTCATTACAAAGACTCTTTTTTGTGATATTTCCAAATAATATGTTTGTCTAATCTTTACAAAGAGTCTTTTTCTCTAATCTTTACAAATGATTGATTTGTCTATTTTCTTTTTTGTCTAATATATTCAAAGTCTCTATGTTGCTATTGAACGTGTTTAGATAGGATTATTACATTCCTCTTCAATGTAATGTCTTAAGACCATGACATTTTGCCTTCATTTGATACAAGTAATTATAATATTTTTACTGAGATTTTATACATTATTATTATTATCTTTAATCATGCAAAGTTTAAAAGAATTTCTCCACTAGTTAAACTATGCTCCCTCTTTATTTTAAAATGATTTAAGCAGCCATTTAAGTTGAGGGTATAAAATTTAATCTAGGTTTTTAATGATCTTGTTAAAATGAAACAAATAAAAGAGATTTTATCTCGACCGTTTTTCGGGTAACATATATACTCGTATACATATGGCAACTTCAACTGTTATCTCGGTTTTCATATAAAACAGTGTAATAAAATTCGGTCAAGGTAAATATGTTGCAAACATTCGGCTTGCACTTTCTAAGCTGCTGCGTAATATGTGAAACAGAAAATGATTGTGGTGTTCTTGGGAGAATAATTATCTTATGTTGATAATTAGAGCTTCCAAAAGCTGTTTGCTCGCTTATTTAAAAGTAGTAGGTAAAGGTAAAATTCGCTGAATGTAGACATTCGTCTGGAAATTATGTATAAAGCTGCCGTATTGTATTTGAGCTGCGCAGTATATCATGTACAGATTTGAAATAAAACTGAAAAGCTGTAAGCGAAAGCATTGAAAATAGATAAAATAAATAGTGTCGGCATTATCATTGTTACAGTTATTATTAATGAAATGAATGTGTCCCCGATCATGATAAAAACATCAAGGAGCTACAAAAGGTTATGCAGAAGGGGATATTTCAAAGTAGGTTCAAGTCTTCTAGAATAAATTCCCGGCGTAGGAGATCAGTAGCTTCAAAGAAGAATGCGGCAAAACAAATAACAAGGCATCAGGTAAAATTAATGTTTAAATTCGTTCAATTAATTGTTATATGAATTTTATTTTTTTATTTAGTCTTATTTCATGTTATTTAAATTATTCGGAATCGATTGTCAAATATTCCATTTGATATTTATTTAAGACGATTTTTGAATAATGATTTAAAGGCACATTTGCCCTCTGAAATGAATACGAGATCTACTCTACAAAAAGACCAAACACGTGTTTTAGATTTAATTGATGATTTAAAGCTTGTTTAAACCCCTGTCACATGAAAGAAAGTAGCATTGGATGCAAAAATGAATAATGTAAACTTAATACATGCATTTGCATAAATGTAGTACAACGTAAGATTTACCAGCAGTTTTGTGTCTTTCATACAAAACTTGTTCGCTACAATATTATATACATGTTTGGTTAAATAGCCCAAAAGCCAATTTAAAATAAACACCGTTCTAAAACAGAAAGAGGCACAGAAAATTGAAAGCTTTCGAGAAATAAAATAATAGCAATATGAGGGCTAAATCATGGGCCTTACTGGTACGCAATGAAAGCGTGGACTTTAAGTAAGCAGGTAATCCGTCGTCCTGTCCTTGTTCTGTCGTTCACAATTGAAATGAAATCTTCACCAGTAAAGGCATAACACTAATTTTGAATAAACTTGGTAGAAAATCTCTGGCATAAATCTTTAACAAGTATGGCAAATTGTTCTAGTCTATTACATACGGAAAAATTAAATAAATGGATATTAAATGGAATTTACAAGCGCAGTTTTTAAAACCATTTTCCGAAAGTGCAAATCTTATAGCTTAGGTATTTAGAAAGAAAAATTACAAAGTGGGAATCTACAGAAGTTACTCAAATTATAGCCTATAGAGAATATTGGCCCGTCCATTGGATCATAGGTTTTTTGTGTTGTGTCTTTTAACAAAATATTATAAGCACTGTACGGAGTTTTTGGTATTATTTTATTTGTTTTTTTTATTTATTTTTGTTTTGTATTTTTTTATTTATTTATTTTATTGTATATTATGAAAACTTAAGGTTTCTTCCCCTCTGTAACAGCAAATACTATAAATTAAGATATTTAACCTGAAACAAACATATTGCATCGAACCTTTTCCAAGTTTATAACCTGGAAAAAAAGCTGGTCACGCCCCACGGAACATTGGTTTCCATATATGTATATAGCAAAAACTTGAACATTTTCTCTGAACCCGCCAAGGCTACAAGTTATGAACATTTGCATAGCACATCGTGTGATTGACCGCTACTAAATCTTTTTGGAGTAAAAATTGGCCCGCCCTTAAAGAAAGTTGGTAATTGGTTTTCCATGCAAGTATACAGATACTATCGCCTCTGAAATCGCAAAGGCTAGAGTTTACTTCCATAGAAATTATTGAATATCCATAGCAACAAGGGTGAATTTCATAACAACCATTGTCTTTCAATAGCATTCAATGACTTTAAAAAAAGCAATTAGCAACCTTTACAAAATAAACACTGAATTCCATAGAAGCCACAAATTTTTCCCTCAGGAACAAGTGTTTTCCGTAACAAACATTGACTTTCATAGCAATCAGACACTTCCATTGCAAACAGTGACTTCCATAGCAAACAGTGACTTCCATAGCAACCTGTGACTTCCATCTCAAACATTGTCTTCCTAGAGCAAACATTTACTTTTAACATGTTTAAGATTCAGATGCAGTTTTGTACATAGACTAAAGTTTTGACATAATATCTGCTTTTTATTCCTAGATAAAATATCAATTTATATCATTTTCCCTTGTCATTTAGAGCTTTTATACTCAGATGAGTGATATAAGGACCATAAGTGTCCTCTTGTTTATCTTAAGTTATATATATATAGGATGTTTTAGAAGCTGAGACGTTAAAATGCTGATAAAAGTAAGGTAGTTTGATAGAATCCAACGGGCTTTCAACAACTAAAAGCAACACTATTGACACATTAGAAGCTGAAGTGACAAGGGTTGGCAGTACAGACGTTAATAAAGCAACTATTCAATCAAGTCTTTCAAAGCTAATTGAAACGAAACTTACGTCATTTTCTCTACAAGTTCAAGATTTGAAGAAACATGATGCAAATAAAAAAGGTGTATTTCTAATCAACGTTATTCAGCCATTTTATAGAACCTTATGTCAATGATAATAACATTAAGCTGCGCCGCGCCTGACCAATTTGTTTATTATTTAATGTATTCGTTGACGAATAAAGAATAAAGTCATGAAAATGATAGTATATGCTTTCCGCATTCTTATTCTGCTGAGTAATTTAAAGTGACAAAAAGAATTAAAAACTGTTTTTATCAGTCAAATTGTATCTGCAATGATGACTGCAGTTGCATGATAAAAGTTTTATGATATCACCATTACTATTAAAAGTAAGTATGTAAGTAAGTGAGATATGTCCATTTTAACATGGCGGGATAAATGATAATAAATTATATTCTTTAATTTACTATGGTGAATTTATAAGTTCTTAGTACATGGTCCAGTATAAACGGTTTAAGCTTCATATAAACCGAGTTGTTAGGTAAGGGTTTATTGCAAACGACTGTTAATATATGACCATATAAACTGTCAAAAATCGTAATGATAATAATACAGACAAGTTCTTTATTTGCTGAAAAATTAAAAAAAGGTCCTAATAAATTTACAATAGCTGTGTCATGTCTCGATTAACAACGTGCAGTATCATAAAATAGCTCTGATAGGATAGTGTGGACGAATTTTCAAAAATGTAATTGTCGTAGTAATTCATTACGAATTTACAATGAACACGTATAATTAAAATTATAATAAACACAATCTGGAAATGAAAATTACAATAACCACGTCTTAAAAACGAAAATTACAATACACCCACCCTAAAAAACGAAGATTCCAATAACCACGTCCTAAAAACGAAAATTACAATACACACGTCCTAAATATGATATTACGCTCTACAGTGACTCGCCTATATAACGCTTTCTTTTAAATAAGTCAATATGAAGCGACAACAACTCTTGTATGAGCCTATATATCTTTCCTTCTAGATGGTGAATGGTCAAGTTGGGAAAGCTGGGGTTCATGTAGTGTCAGTTGTGATGGTGGTATTCAAAGTCGGCTAAGGACATGTTCTAACCCAACACCATCTTTACTAGGAAGATTTTGTGATGGAAGTCCCGACGAAATGAGAATTTGTAACAAACATCAGTGTCTAGGTATATAATATTATTAAAAAACAGTTCATGTTAAATACTTTAAAATGTTCTATTAAACGCTTGTGACTGCTTTAACAGCTTCACGAGAACGCCATGAACATGATCAAACCCAAGACCATCTTTACAAGGTACATGTATTATGGTAAAAGATCGGAGTAACCAAGTGTATATACCTTTTTACAATGCGATCCGTTGTTGTGCAAACCTGACCGGAAAAAGTATTTTCTCGCGCATGCGCAATGTATGTATGCCAAAAATATCACGCCAAACATGGAAATGAAGTTGACGTTCTTAGAAAATTGTGCGAAAGTTGACAATGCAAAATATCAAATCATATTAATAAAATGGGAAAATGCAGCAAAATAGCATTAAGTTATACAAAGTATTGAGCAGTTACGAGCATTTAATGGTAGCAATAAAAAACACAACATAACTGAACATATTCCAATCCTTCTTGTGTTGATTGTTATAAAATCCCGAATATTTTCATATACAATGTATTACGTGTAATAAACATCAAATGATACCACTATAAGCCACGCCAAGCTGCTGTTTTCTTGGTGACATACTTTCCTTTGAGTAGAAAAAGAATATGATCCATAGAACCCATCTTCATTTAGAAACCTGGAAAGTTATGTTATA